TCTCTCTACAGGCTCTCTCTCTACAGGCTCTCTAGTCACTCTCTAGCCTCTCCCCAGTCTCTCTCTGGTCTCTCTCTCTATAGTCTCTATCAATATGTTCCCAATCAAACATGGGCCACTTGTTATCTACTTTGCGAGATCAGTTTCCAAGCAACTAATTTAAGAACAAACTACATCTATGACTTTTCAAATTCAAACACATTAACTTTTGCCTCTTTCCCCTAATCCCGACAACCCATCCAGGGGAGAAAAAAAACTAAATATCCAATCCCTGTTCCGTCATCCCAAAAGACTCTCTCACAAACTCAAGGTCCGTCCTTGTCACAGCGAGCTCCATTTATGAATCCATCAATCACCCAATCCAAGGAGCCAGGCTAGGGGCCCCGGCTGCCATGGCAACGAGGCCCTGGTCCTGATTGGAGGCAGGTGGGCAGGTGTGTGTCGGCTAATGGGCTGTTTAGGAGGCTAACCGTACTGTAGCAGCGCAGGACGAGCGGTTATGACATGAGCACGGCCTTGTCTCGGAGTCGTGCCGCGGCAAGAGACGAGGCAGTTGGTGACGGACCTCCTGTGCTCCGTGTGCTCCGGCCGGGAACATAAATGCAGATTATCAAGAGAGAAGAGAGAGTTGGAGAAGGAAAGAGGACAGCGGCCAAAGTGAAGACATGGAATATTGGACTGTCTTCACTGCGTACAGGGATGAATGGTTAAATCTGTCTCTCTTTCAGTCTGTCTCCGTCTCTCCCTCTGTCTGTCTCTGTATGTCTGTCTCTCTCTCTCTGTCTCTCTATTTCTCTCTCTCTCTCTGTCTCTCTCTATTTCTCTCTCTCTGTGTGTCTGTCTCTGTATGTCTGTCTCTCTCGCTCTTTGTCGCTCTCTCTCTGTCTCTCTCTATTTCTCTGTCTCTCTCGGTCTCTATCTCTCTGTGTGTCTGTCTGTCTCTCTCTCTGTGTCTCTCTGTCTCTCGCTCTCTCTGTATCTTTCTCTCTGTCTCTCTCTCTGTGTCTCTCTCTGTCTCGTTCTGTGTTTCTCTCTCTCACTGTGTCTCTGTCTCTCTCTGTCTCTCTCTCTCTCTGTCTCTCTCTGTCTCTCTATCTCTGTCTCTCTTTGTCTCTCTCTGTCTCTCTCTGTCTCTCTTTGTCTCTCTCTGTCTCTCCTCTCTCTCTCTCTGTCTCTCTCTGTGTCTCTCTCGTCTCTCTGTCTCTCTGTGTCTCTCTCCGTCTCTCTGTCTCTCTCTGTCTCTCTTTCTCTGTCTGTCTGCCTGTCTCTCTGTGTGTGTCTCTCTCTCTGTCTCTCCTCTGTCTCTCCTCTGTCTCTCCTCTGTCTCTCTCTGTCTCTCTCTGTCTCTCTCTGTCTCTCTCTGTCTCTCTCTGTCTCTCTCTGTCTCTCGCTGTCTCTCGCTGTCTCTCGCTGTCTCTCTCTGTCTCTCTCTGTCTCTCTCTGTCTCTGTCTGTCTGCCTGTCTCTCTGTGTGTGTGTCTCTCTCTGTCTCTCTCTGTCTCTCTCTGTCTCTCTCTGTCTCTCTCTCTGGCTCTCTCTCTGTCTCTCTCTCTCCTCGGTCTCTCTTTCCCTGTCTGTCTGCCTGTCTCTCTGTGTGCGTCTCTCTCTCTCTGTCTCTCCTCAGAGGTTCAAAGTAAACTCTCTTGGGATCAGGAGAAGCAATCATTTTCGGCCTGGGTCAAAACTCATTTCTAAAAGTCTCGTTCACTCAGACAAGACCTGAACTCTCTTTCCCGTCGCTGCTTTGAATGCAGCAATTACTACAATTAAATATTTTTGGAAGTGTTCTGCTAAATTGCCGTTGCACCAGCAGAAATGTCACTGAGTAATAATGTCGGTGAACTACTAATCTTTAAAAGCGGTAAATGTCAAAAAAAAAAAAAAAACGTAGAATGACAGCAGCCTCCAAACTCGCCGTTCTGCTCTCAATGCGAGTTTTTAGTCTTGCGGACCCCTGACAGATTTAGGTCCAATTAAAACGTCCGGATTTGGCTCACGAGACGAGGCCAGAGCAGGTTTTATGTCAGGCCGTCCCACTGGGTCTCACAGAGCACTGGGTTGTGGGAAACGTGTCTAAAGAGGCTGCATCAGCGTTTAATTGGTTCAGAAATGTACTTCCAGTAAGAGGCTCCCACTGCACTGGTGACTCTCTCTGGTCTCTCTCTGGTCTCTCTCTGGTCTCTCGCTGGTCTCTCTCTGGTCTCTCTCTGGTCTCTCTCTGGTCTCTCGCTGGTCTCTCGCTGGTCTCTCGCTGGTCTCTCGCTGGTCTCTCGCTGGTCTCTCGCTGGTCTCTCGCTGGTCTCTCGCTGGTCTCTCGCTGGTCTCTCTCTGGTCTCTCGCTGGTCTCTCGCTGGTCTCTCGCTGGTCTCTCGCTGGTCTCTCGCTGGTCTCTCGCTGGTCTCTCGCTGGTCTCTCGCTGGTCTCTCGCTGGTCTCTCGCTGGTCTCTCGCTGGTCTCTCTCTGGTCTCTCTCTGGTCTCTCTCTGGTCTCTCTCTGGTCTCTCTCTGGTCTCACTCCGGTCTCACTCCGGTCTCACTCCGGTCTCACTCCGGTCTCACTCCGGTCTCACTCCGGTCTCACCCCGGTCTCACTCCGGTCTCACTCCGGTCTCACTCCGGTCTCACTCTGGTCTCACTCTGGTCTCACTCTGGTCTCACTCTGGTCTCACTCTGGTCTCACTCTGGTCTCTCTCTCTGGCCTCTCTCTCTCTCTCTCTCAGGCCTACCCCTCTCTCTCTCTCTCTCTTGGTCCCTCTCCCTTTCGTCCCCAATCAAACATTGGCCACTTGAGTAAATCAGTTACATCTACTTTGCAAGATCAGTTACCAAGCAACCAATTTGTGGTCATGCTCCACTATGATGAATCCAAAATGGTATTAAAAAAAAAGGCTAAATGAATTCTAGAGCAGCTCATTAGGGGCTCTCTCGCTCTGACTGCAGCGAGGACCACCCTCCAACTCTCACTACACACTTTTCAATCGTCTTTCCATCTCATGTCACATTTTTCTGCCTGTTAACAGCTTTGCTTCTTGCTGAGGGCGATGTGCCAGTGTGTGTGTGTGTGTGTGTGTGTGTGTGTGTGGAATAACTACCTAAAGACTTTCCTTTTGCTGACGACGCTCTTTTTAAGTGGTTTTCTCACTTCAAATTAAAGTTAAGTTGGAAATGGAAGTCTGAACAAGGCGAGGCGAGGTGTTTGTTTAATGTCTCGGGAGAAATGTGTCCTCTGCATTTGACCCATTCTGCTTTTCTATTCAGTGAAGTTGTGTTTTGTTTTTGATTTGCCAACAACAGATCGAACACAGAAAATGCAATGATACCAGAGAGAGAGAGAGAGAGAGAGAGACCAGAAAGAGAAACCTGAGACAGACCAGAGAGAGAGATCAAAGAGAAAAGAGACATATCAAAATTGTTGATTATTTACCAAAAGACTCAATTACAAGAGACTCAATTACAATAATAACAAACACATTGGTCCATAGGGAGCGGGAGGAACACTGTCAAGAAATACAAATATAATAAAAATGATAATAATAACAATGTTCTGGATCATCACTGTCCATAGACCCTCTTACATCGACAACAAACCACTCAAAAAAGTGTGGTTGACTTTCTCTAATCTCTCTCTCTGGTCTCTCTCTCTGGTCTCTCTCTCTGGTCTCTCTCTCTGGTCTCTCTCTCTGGTCTCTCTCTCTGGTCTCTCTCTCTGGTCTCCCTCTCTGGTCTCCCTCTCTGGTCTCTCTCTGGTCTCTCTCTGGTCTCTCTCTCTGGTCTCTCTCTCTGGTCTCTCTCTCTGGTCTCTCTCTCTGGTCTGTCTCTCTGGTCTCTCTCTCTGGTCTCTCTCTCTGGTCTCTCTCTGGTCTTTCTCTGGTCTTTCTCTGGTCTTTCTCTGGTCTCTCTCTGGCCTCTCTCTAGTCTCTCTCTGGTCTGTCTCTCTGGTTTCTCTCTCTGCGTGTGTGCGTCTCTGCGTGTGTGCGTCTCTGCGTGTGCGTCTCTGCGTGTGCGTCTCTGCGTGTGCGTCTCAGCGTGTGCGTCTCAGCGTGTGCGTCTCAGCTTGTGCGTCTCAGCTTGTGCGTCTCAGCTTGTGCGTCTCTGCGCGTGTGTCTCTGCGTGTGTGCGTCTCTGCGTGTGCGTCTCTGCGTGTGTGCGTCTCTGCGTGTGTGCGTCTCTGCGTGTGTGCGTCTCTGCGTGTGTGCGTCTCTGCGTGTGTGCGTCTCTGCGTGTGTGCGTCTCTGCGTGTGTGTGTCTCTGCGTGTGTGCGTCTCTGCGTGTGTGCGTCTCTGCGCGTGCGTCTCTGCGTGTGCGTCTCTGCGTGTGCGTCTCTGCATGTGCGTCTCTGCATGTGCGTCTCTGCGCGTGCGTCTCTGCGTGTGCGTCTTAGCGCGTGTGTCTCTGCGTGTGCGTCTCTGCGTGTGTGCGTCTCTGCGTGTGCGTCTCTGCGTGTGCGTCGTCTCTGCGTGTGTGCGTCTCTGCGTGTGTGCGTCTCTGCGTGTGTGCGTCTCTGCGTGTGCGTCTCTGCGTGTGCGTCTCTGCATGTGCGTCTCTGCATGTGCGTCTCTGCGCGTGCGTCTCTGCGTGTGCGTCTTAGCGCGTGTGTCTCTGCGTGTGCGTCTCTGCGTGTGTGCGTCTCTGCGTGTGCGTCTCTGCGTGTGCGTCTCTGCGTGTGTGCGTCTCTGCGTGTGTGCGTCTCTGCGTGTGTGCGTCTCTGCGTGTGTGCGTCTCTGCGTGTGCGTCTTAGCGTGTGCGTCTCTGCGTGTGCGTCTCTGCGCGTGTGTCTCTGCGCGTGCGTCTCTGCGTGTGCGTCTCAGCGTGTGCGTCTCTGCGTGTGCGTCTCTGCGTGTGCGTCTCTGCGTGTGCGTCTCTGCGTGTGCGTCTCTGCATGTGCGTCTCTGCGCGTGTATCTCTGTGTGTGCGTCTCTGCGTGTGCGTCTCTGCGTGTGCGTCTCTGCGTGTGCGTCTCTGCGTGTGCGTCTCTGTGTGTGCGTCTCAGCGTGTGTGTCTCTCACCCCAGCTGGTCCGTCAGGTCCCACAGAACGTTGGGCGTGGGCATGAGAGGTGAACCATCGTATAAAACCAGCGACGCTCCCACTGCCAACGCCGACACCAGCCAGTTCCACATCATCCAGCCGGTCTGGACACAACAGGAGGAGGTCACTTTATCTGCTCCAAACACGAGGCAGGAAGTGGAAAAACACTACTCGGTTTGAGGGAATGAATGAAGTTTTTGGTCTCTCTCTGGTCTGTCTCTCTCTCTGGTCTCTCTCTCTCTGGTCTGTCTCTCTCTGGTCTGTCTCTCTCTGGTCTGTCTCTCTCTCTGGTCTCTCTCTCTCTGGTCTGTCTCTCTCTGGTCTGTCTCTCTCTGGTCTGTCTCTCTCTGGTCTGAATCTCTCTGGTCTGAATCTCTCTGGTCTGACTCTCTCTGGTCTGTCTCTCTCTGGTCTGTCTCTCTCTGGTCTGTCTCTCTCTGGTCTGTCTCTCTCTGGTCTGTCTCTCTCTGGTCTGTCTCTCTCTGGTCTGTCTCTCTCTCTGGTCTGTCTCTCTCTCTGGTCTGTCTCTCTCTGGTCTGTCTCTCTCTGGTCTGTCTCTCTCTGGTCTGTCTCTCTCTGGTTTGTCTCTCTCTGGTCTGTCTCTCTCTGGTCTCTCTCTCTCTGGTCTCTCTCTCTCTGGTCTGTCTCTCTCTGGTCTGTCTTTCTCTGGTCTGTCTCTCTCTGGTCTGTCTCTCTCTGGTCTGTCTCTCTCTGGTCTGTCTCTCTCTGGTCTCTCTCTCTCTGGTCTCTCTCTCTCTGGTCTGTCTCTCTCTGGTCTGTCTTTCTCTGGTCTGTCTCTCTCTGGTCTGTCTCTCTCTGGTCTGTCTCTCTCTGGTCTGTCTCTCTCTGGTCTGTCTCTCTCTGGTCTGTCTCTCTCTGGTCTGAATCTCTCTGGTCTGTCTCTCTCTGGTCTGTCTCTCTCTGGTCTGTCTCTCTCTCTGGTCTCTCTCTCTCTGGTCTGTCTCTCTCTGGTCTGTCTTTCTCTGGTCTGTCTCTCTCTGGTCTGTCTCTCTCTGGTCTGTCTCTCTCTGGTCTGAATCTCTCTGGTCTGTCTCTCTCTGGTCTGTCTCTCTCTGGTCTGTCTCTCTCTGGTCTGTCTCTCTCTGGTCTGTCTCTCTCTGGTCTGTCTCTCTCTGGTCTGTCTCTCTCTGGTCTGTCTCTCTCTGGTCTGTCTCTCTCTGGTCCCTCACGCTCTCTGGTCCCTCACGCTCTCTGGGCCCTCACGCTCTCTGGTCCCTCACGCTCTCTGGTCCCTCACGCTCTCTGGTCCCTCACGCTCTCTGGTCCCTCACGCTCTCTGGTCCCTCACGCTCTCTGGTCCCTCACGCTCTCTGGTCCCTCACGCTCTCTGGTCCCTCACGCTCTCTGGGTCCCTCACGCTCTCTGGTCCCTCACGCTCTCTGGGCCCTCACGCTCTCTGGGCCCTCACGCTCTCTGGTCCCTCACGCTCTCTGGTCCCTCACGCTCTCTGGTCCCTCACGCTCTCTGGTCCCTCACGCTCTCTGGTCCCTCACGCTCTCTGGTCCCTCACGCTCTCTGGTCTATCTTTTTCTCTGGTCCCCCTCTCTCTAATCTCTCTCTCTTTCATCCTCTCTCTGGTCCATCTCTCACTCTCTATGGTTTCTCACTCTCTCTGGTATCTCTCTCTCTCACTCTCTCTGGTCTCTCTCACTCTCTCACTCCCACTAGTCTCTCACTCTATGGTTTCTCACTCTCTCTGGTCTATTTCTCCCTCTCTGGTCTCTCTTCCTCCAGTCTCTCTCACTCGCTCTCTCTCTCTGGTCTCTCACTCTCTCTCTCTGGTCTCTCTTGCTCTGGTCTCTCCCTCTCTATAGTCTCTGGTCTCTCTCTCTCTCTGGCAGATCCTTCCACATCATCCATCCGGTCTGGCCACAGCAGGCAGAGGTCACTTTATCTGCTCCAAACATGCGGCAGGAGGTGGCAGCGGAAACACACAAAACAACTTTGACAGTTTTTGACCCGACACCAGAGAGCGGCTGGAGCTGCAGAGTGGAACATATTTAAAGTTTCAATCGGTTTTTAATTTACCCTTTAGGTGGAGAGAGGATTTCAGAAATGTTATCGGAAACAGAAAAACCCTGAAAGTTGGGAAGAGAAAAGATGTTGGTATGAAGTATGCTTTCGTAGGGTAAACCGTAGCACCCAGAGGAATCCTCAGCCTCAGTCCTGGGTCTACAGCCTCAGTTCTTCTGGATTTAGTCTCAGTCCTGGGTCTACATCCTCAGTCCTGGGTCTACAGCCTCAGTCCTGGGTCTACAGCTTCAGTCCTGGGTCTACAGCCTCAGTCCTGGATCTACAGCCTCAGTCCTGGGTCTACAGCCTCAGTCCTGGATCTACAGCCTCAGTCCTGGGTCTACAACCTCAGTCCTGCGTCTACAGCCTCAGTCCTGGGTCTACAGCCTCAGTCCTGGGTCTACAACCTCAGTCCTGGGTCTACAACCTCAGTCCTGGGTCTACAACCTCAGTCCTGCGTCTACAGCCTCAGTCCTGCGTCTACAGCCTCAGTCCTGGGTCTACAGCCTCAGTCCTGGGTCTACATCCTCAGTCCTGGGTCTACAGCCTCAGTCCTGGATCTACAGCCTCAGTCCTGGGTCTACAGCCTCAGTCCTGGGTCTACAGCCTCAGTCCTGGGTCTACAGCCTCAGTCCTGGGTCTACAGCCTCAGTCCTGGGTCTACAGCCAATCCCTAACTCTCTGGAACATCCCTTCATCCCTGTATTTTCACAGACAAGTTTCTAGTTTGTTTCGGTTTTACAAACAGCTAAAATGATTGGATTTGATTAACGTAACCTCCGCCATTATCGTCTCCAAAGTGCATCTCTTTTGAAAGACAATTATCCCCCAAAAACACACACACACACACACCCAGACCTTACGAAACACAAACTCGCTCATTAAAAAACCGTCTTGGTCTGTAATTAAAGGACCCCTGCATTGGTCACAAGGACACTGCTTCAAACCCAGTGCTCAAAATAAATGCCTGTTTTTGTTCTTTCAGCTGTAAAAACATTCCATTGTAAGGTTTGGATGAAACAGAACACACAGGAGGAAGGCTCAAAGCTAACATTGTATTGAGCTTGGAAGTGGGCGGAGCTTCGGAGTCAGGAAGTAAAACTATGAGTGTAGGTTATTTGTCTTGATGTATACAACCTCTCAGCGTTATATATTTTTTATGCACGGATGCTTTTCTCCTGGACACCTGAATTTCTCCTGCGAGGATCAATCAAGTATCTATTTTGGTTAAATGTAAATGTGTAATTTATTGATCCAGTAGGAAAATTCTTCCCCTGCATTTGACCCATCCCGACGCGACTAAGGCTTTTGTCAGGAGCAGTGGTCACCATGGTAACAGCTGCCGGGAATCCATCTCCACCTCTCTTGCTCCCTCTCTCTGGTCTCTCTTTCTCTAGTCTCTCTTGCTCCCTCTCTCTGGTCTCTCTTTTTCTAGTCTCTCTTGCTCCCTCTCTCTGGTCCCTCTTTCTCTAGTCTCTCTTTCTCCCTCTCTCTGGTCCCTCTTTCTCTAGTCTCTCTTGCTCCCTCTCTCTGGTCTCTCTTTCTCTAGTCTCTCTTGCTCCCTCTCTCTGGTCCCTCTTTCTCTGGTCTCTCTTGCTCCCTCTCTCTGGTCCCTCTTTTTCTAGTCTCTCTTGCTCCCTCTCTCTGGTCCCTCTTTCTCTAGTCTCTCTTGCTCCCTCTCTCTGGTCTCTCTTTCTCTAGTCTCTCTTGCTCCCTCTCTCTGGTCCCTCTTTCTCTAGTCTCTCTTGCTCCCTCTCTCTGGTCTCTCTTTCTCTAGTCTCTCTTGCTCCCTCTCTCTGGTCTCTCTTTCTGTAGTCTCTCTTGCTCCCTCTCTCTGGTCCCTCTTTCTCTAGTCTCTCTTGCTCCCTCTCTCTGGTCTCTCTTTCTCTAGTCTCTCTTGCTCCCTCTCTCTGGTCCCTCTTTCTCTAGTCTCTCTTGCTCCCTCTCTCTGGTCTCTCTTTCTCTAGTCTCTCTTGCTCCCTCTCTCTGGTCTCTCTTTCTGTAGTCTCTCTTGCTCCCTCTCTCTGGTCTCTCTTTCTCTAGTCTCTCTTGCTCCCTCTCTCTGGTCCCTCTTTCTCTGGTCTCTCTTGCTCCCTCTCTCTGGTCCCTCTTTCTCTAGTCTCTCTTGCTCCCTCTCTCTGGTCCCTCTTTCTCTAGTCTCTCTTGCTCCCTCTCTCTGGTCTCTCTTTCTCTAGTCTCTCTTGCTCCCTCTCTCTGGTCCCTCTTTCTCTAGTCTCTCTTGCTCCCTCTCTCTGGTCCCTCTTTCTCTAGTCTCTCTTGCTCCCTCTCTCTGGTCTCTCTTTCTCTAGTCTCTCTTGCTCCCTCTCTCTGGTCCCTCTTTCTCTAGTCTCTCTTGCTCCCTCTCTCTGGTCCCTCTTTCTCTAGTCTCTCTTGCTCCCTCTCTCTGGTCCCTCTTTCTCTAGTCTCTCTTGCTCCCTCTCTCTGGTCCCTCTTTCTCTAGTCTCTCTTGCTCCCTCTCTCTGGTCTCTCTTTCTCTAGTCTCTCTTGCTCCCTCTCTCTGGTCTCTCTTTCTGTAGTCTCTCTTGCTCCCTCTCTCTGGTCTCTCTTTCTCTAGTCTCTCTTGCTCCCTCTCTCTGGTCCCTCTTTCTCTGGTCTCTCTTGCTCCCTCTCTCTGGTCCCTCTTTCTCTAGTCTCTCTTGCTCCCTCTCTCTGGTCCCTCTTTCTCTAGTCTCTCTTGCTCCCTCTCTCTGGTCTCTCTTTCTCTAGTCTCTCTTGCTCCCTCTCTCTGGTCCCTCTTTCTCTAGTCTCTCTTGCTCCCTCTCTCTGGTCCCTCTTTCTCTAGTCTCTCTTGCTCCCTCTCTCTGGTCTCTCTTTCTCTAGTCTCTCTTGCTCCCTCTCTCTAGTCTTTCTTTCTCTAGTCTCCCTTGCTCCCTTTCTCTGGTCCCTCTCTCTCTCTCTCAGCTGTTGGTGCTCAGGACCAGAGTGCATGTTTTTAGTGTTAAGGAAAACCAGAGCACATGGAGGAAAACTATGCAGATACAGGGAGAACATGCAAACTCCACTAAGGACTGGGATTCGAACCCAGGACAATCTTGCCGAGAAGCGAGAGTGCCACTCAGCTTCTGTGCCGTCCTATAAAGATGTGCGCTAGGACCTTGAAACCCTAGTTTTGATCCATATTTGGACTTCAAACCAAATTGTTCACCTTTTTGATACATACTGGGGCCTCTAACCATAGTTTTTAATGTATACTGGGACCTGTTGATACATACTGGGGCCTCAAACCTTAGTATTTAATGTATACTGGGACCTGTTGATACATACTGGGGCCTCTAACCATAGTTTTTAATGTATACTGGGACCTGTTGATACATACTGGGGCCTCTAACCATAGTTTTTAATGTATACTGGGACATGTTGATACATACTGGGGCCTCTAACCATAGTATTTAATGTATACTGGGACCTGTTGATACATACTGGGGCCTCAAACGTTAGTATTTAATGTATACTGGGACCTGTTGATACATACTGGGGCCTCAAACCTTAGTATTTAATGTATACTGGGACCTGTTGATACATACTGGGGTCTCTAACCATAGTTTTTAATGTATACTGGGACCTGCTGATACATACTGGGGCCTCTAACCATAGTTTTTAATGTATACTGGGACCTTTTGATACATACTGGGGCCTCTAACCATAGTTTTTAATGTATACTGGGACCTGTTGATACATACTGGGGCCTCTAACCATAGTTTTTAATGTATACTGGGACCTGTTGATACATACTGGGGCCTCTAACCATAGTTTTTAATGGTATACTGGGACCTGTTGATACATACTGGGGTCTCTAACCATAGTTTTTAATGTATACTGGGACCTGCTGATACATACATGGGGCCTCTAACCATAGTTTTTAATGTATACTGGGACCTTTTGACACATACTGGGGCCTCTAACCATAGTTTTTAATGTATACTGGGACCTGTTGATACATACTGGGGCCTCTAACCATAGTTTTTAATGTATACTGGGACCTGTTGATACATACTGGGGCCTCTAACCATAGTTTTTAATGTATACTGGGACCTTTTGATACATACTGGGGCCTCTAACCATAGTTTTTTAATGTATACTGGGACCTGTTGATACATACTGGGGCCTCTAACCATAGTTTTTAATGTATACTGGGACCTGTTGATACATACTGGGGCCTCTAACCATAGTTTGTAATGTATACTGGGACCTTTTGATACATACTGGGGCCTCAAACCTTAGTTTTTAATGTATACTGGGACCTTTTGATACATACTGGGGCCTCTACCATAGTTTTTAATGTATACACTCGGGCCTGTTGATACATACTGGGGCCTCAAACCTTAGTATTTAATGTATACTGGGACCTGTTGATACATACTGGGGCCTCAAACCTTAGTATTTAATGTATACTGGGACCTGTTGATACATACTGGGGCCTCAAACCTTAGTATTTAATGTATACTGGGACCTTTTGATACATACTGGGGCCTCTAACCATAGTTTTTAATGTATACTGGGACCTTTTGATACATACTGGGGCCTCAAACCTTAGTATTTAATGTATACTGGGACCTTTTGATACATACTGGGGCCTCTAACCATAGTTTTGGCATTTTACCTCTTGCCTATGGGAACTACAGTAAACTAGCAAACTTGCTGTTAGCCATTACAGACACATTTACAGTAATGTTGACTAATGTGTACTGTCCCGATTCAAATAAACTAATACATAAATATATTTTTGTGAGGTATAATGGGACCTCAAAAGGGGCGGAGTTACATGTATGTAGCGTGGATGGATCTAAAAGCGGCTCCTGTGTGTTCTGTAGCTGGTACCGTGGTGTAGTAGATGATGACGTCGCTGCTGGTCATGTTCCCGTGCAGGACGTGCTCCTTCAGGTGCTGGATCAGAGTTCCCTGAAACCACAAGACAAAAGAATCAAGATTGAAGATTCAGTTTATTAACCATTTGCAGTAAAACCACATTGGAATAACTGTGCAAGACTTTACCCCAGGGTGCACCAGGCAAAGTACACACCAGAGAGACAGAGACAGAGATATATTTTCACATTCCTGCATGCAAAGCAAAAAGCAATCTTCCCCAAGAGCTCAAACTGCGGAATATAAATGTGTTTTTCACAGAACAACAGGAAGTGTGTGATTGCCGTGGTCTCTGTGTTCTGATTGGCTCAAGGGCAGCAGCAGAAGCAGTTTTAGTAGCAGTATCAATAGTAGCAGTAGTAGTACTAGTAGCGACAGTAGTAGCAGTATAGCAGAAGCAGTAGCAGAAGTAGAAGTAGAAGTAGTAGCAGTCGTAGAAGTAGTAGCGACAGTAGTGGCAGTAGTAGCAGTATAGCAGTAGCAGTAGCAGAAGTAGAAGTAGAAGTAGTAGCAGTCGTAGAAGTAGTAGCGACAGTAGTGACAGTAGTAGCAGTATAGCAGTAGCAGTAGCAGTAGAAGTAGTAGCAGTAGTAGTAGCGACAGTAGTGGCAGTAGTAGCAGTATAGCAGTAGCAGTAGTAGCAGCAGTAGTAGCAGTAGTAGTAGAAGTAGTAGAAGTATTAGCTGCAGTAGTGACAGTAGTAGCAGCAGTAGTAATAGCAGTAGTAGCAGCAGTAGCGACAGTAATAGCAGCAGTACTAGTGACAGTAGTAGCAGCAGTAGTAGTAGCAGTAGTAGCGACAGTAATAGCAGCAGTAGTAGTAGTAGCAGTAGTAGCAGCAGTAGCAGTAGTAGCAGTAGTAGTAGCAGACAGTAGTAGCAGCAGTAGTAGCAGTAGTAGCAGCAGTAGCAGCAGTAGTAGCAGCAGTAGCAGCAGTAGCAGTAGTAGCAGTAATAGCAGCAGTAGCAGTAGTAGCAGTAGCAGCAGTAGTAGCAGTAGTAGCAGTAGAAGCAGCAGTAGCAGTAGTAGCAGCAGTAGCAGTAGCAGCAGTAGTAGCAGTAGTAGCAGTAGTAGCAGCAGTAGCAGCAGTAGTAGCAGCAGTAGCAGCAGTAGCAGTAGTAGCAGTAGTAGCAGCAGTAGCAGTAGTAGCAGTAGTAGCAGCAGTAGTAGCAGCAGTAGTAGTAGTAGCAGTAGCAGCAGTAGTAGCAGTAGCAGTAGCAGCAGTAGCAGCAGTAGCAGTAGTAGCAGTAGTAGCAGCAGTAGCAGTAGTAGCAGTAGTAGCAGCAGTAGCAGTAGTAGCAGTAGTAGCAGCAGTAGCAGTAGTAGCAGTAGCAGCAGTAGTAGCAGAAGTAGCAGCAGTAGCAGCAGTAGCAGTAGTAGCAGCAGTAGCAGTAGTAGCAGTAGTAGCAGCAGTAGCGCTTAATAACCTTTTGTGTGTGTGTAGCTATTTTCTTGCTTGTGAGGGAGTGAGTATGTTTGTGTTGCTGCCTCTGTGTTGGATTGTGTGTGTGTGTGTGTGTATGAGCATTCAAATAGAACTGTGTCTTGGTGTGTGAGTGTGTGTTCCTCTGTGCTGTGTGTGTGTGTGTGTTCCTCTGTCGCCCTCTGCTTCCTCCTTCTCTCCTCTGACAGTGTTAACACAACCGTAACACAAAGCAAACGCACACAACTCCCAGACTAATTGGGATCCGGCAAGGAGACTTTCTGTGTCTGTCTTTAAAATGTTTTCTCAATACATTACTCTCCAATTATCGCCGGCTTCAAGGACAAAAGCACGAGGAACAAGAGCTCAAACATGCGCGAAAGGTACTGAAGCACAGGTACTATACGAATAAATCGGACAGAAGTTAACTGCTCCACGGCCTCGCACCAAAATACATCTGTGACAAGTTGGTACCAAATGAACCAACTCTGAGGAACACAGGGACTGGCCTCCTGCTGGGACTCTGAGGAGCACAGGGACTAGTCTCCTGCTGGGACTCTGAGGAGCACAGGGACTAGTCTCCTGCTGGGACTCTGAGGAGCACAGGGACTAGTCTCCTGCTGGGACTCTGAGGAGCACAGGGACTGGCCTCCTGCTGGGACTCTGAGGAGCACAGGGACTAGTCTCCTGCTGGGACTCTGAGGAGCACAGGGACTGGCCTCCTGCTGGGACTCTGAGGAGCACAGGGACTGGCCTCTGCGGGTCCCAGAGTCAGGACTAAACATGAGGATGCAGCGTTTCAGATTTCTGCAGCTAAAATCTGGAACAATCTTCCTGAAAATGTGAGACAGACTTCTTCTGTAACAATATTAAAATTCAGGTGAAAACACTTAATTTTAGCAGCAAACAACTGAAGGATTTTATCTTTACTCTTTTTAATGTTCTGTGATTATTTATGATTTGAATTCCTTGCATAATATTAAATTGTCACTTTGAGTTGTGTATGAACTGTGCTATACGAATAAACTCGCCTAAACGATCAGAGAAGTCTTTTGAAAGTTGAGATTCTGTCTGTGTGTTTTAACCTTGGAAATGTGGGACAGTATTTCACTTTTCCCTTTCTCTTTGGTCGGTGTCGCTGTGTGTTTGCTGCCATCATGTGGACAAAAAGAGAATTGACCGATGGGGTTAAAGCTGGGGTACGTAACTTTTTCACCGTACAGTAAATAATACAGAAAAGTAACATGTCGTGAACAAGTTAGACCACAAAATTCTGTCTTCATTCATAAGAAAACATGTTATATGTAGTGTAAGAAAAAGCCCTGTGAGTCACTATTTGCTTGGGCTGAGAGCTGAGAGCTGATTGGCTGAATGAGGGTGGTCTGAAAAAGCCGATCTGAAAAAACTGTGGTGCGAACGAGGAACTAGGGACATGGAAGATTTTGGGTGGTTTCAAAGATACAGACCCGAGCTTTAAGTCTGCAGCAAATAAATATATAGATTGATTATTCTTTTTGAACATATTTGACAAAAAGGAAAATTTGCTCATTTGACAAGTATCTTTAAGAAGTAGCATTAGTAGTAATAGTAGTAGTAGTAGCAGCAGTAGTATTGCAGTAGTAGCAGTTGCAGTAGCAGTTTAGCAGTTTTTCATAATTTGATTGTTCCATTTCGCAAATCTGCTGTGAGACGGACTTTTTCTCAATAATTACATAATTCTAGCAAAAAATGTCACCTTTTGTTTCTATGCAACCTTTTGACGACTTTTATCTCATGCTAACGACCGACAATCAACGTAAATATAGCTCCTTGCTCTCCTCGCTAGCCCTTTTCTAACTCTTTAATCCAAGCTGAACTATGTAACTTTCCGAGAGACTGACGAAGAGAGTGATGAATAGTTGCGTGAAGGGATAGAAGATCGAGAGGAAGGCCAAGGTGTGGATGGGATGATGGCGTGAGGACAGGGTTGAATGTGAGAGGTTTGACTGACTCTATGGTCTCCCCTCCACTCATCTCCAAAAACAACAATACATCCAGAACTCTGCCAGAGAACACATCACCCCCGTTCTCGAACAACTCCACTGGCTCCCTGTCCCACACCGCATCCAATACAAGTCCCTCCGTAACCTGCTCCGTCGCTCCTCACTGACCTCCTCCATCATCACTGTCCCACCCTCAAATCCACAGACTCCGACCATCTCACTCCCCTCAAGACTAAAAACCAAAGCTTCGGGGACCGAGCCTTCTGAACTCTGAGGACCGAGCCTTCTGAACCCTGAGGACCGAGCCTTCTGAACTCTGAGGACCGAGCCTTCTGAACCCTGAGGACCGAGCCTTCTGAACCCTGAGGACCGAGCCTTCTGAACCCTGAGGACCGAGTCTGAACCCTGAGGACCGAGCCTTCTGAACTCTGAGGACCGAGCCTTCTGAACCCTGAGGACCGAGCCTTCTGAACTCTGAGGACCGAGCCTTCTGAACCCTGAGGACCGAGCCTTCTGAACCCTGAGGACCGAGCCTTCTGAACCCTGAGGACCGAGCCTTCTGAACCCTGAGGGCCCGAGCCTTCTGAACCCTGAGGACCGAGCCTTCTGAACCCTGAGGACCGAGCCTTCTGAACCCTGAGGACCGAGCCTTCTGAACCCTGAGGACCGAGCCTTCTGAACCCTGAGGACCGAGTCTGAACCCTGAGGACCGAGCCTTCTGAACTCTGAGGACCGAGCCTTCTGAACCCTGAGGACCGAGTCTGAACCCTGAGGACCGAGCCTTCTGAACCCTGAGGACCGAGCCTTCTGAACCCTGAGGACCGAGCCTTCTGAACCCTGAGGACCAAGCCTTCTGAACCCTGAGGACCGAGTCTGAACCCTGAGGACCGAGCCTTCTGAACTCTGAGGACCGAGCCTTCTGAACCCTGAGGACCGAGCCTTCTGAACCCTGAGGACCGAGCCCTCTGAACCCTGAGGACCGAGCCTTCTGAACCCTGAGGACCGAGCCTTCTGAACCCTGAGGACCGAGCCTTCTGAACCCTGAGGACCGAGCCCTCTGAACCCTGAGGACCGAGCCTTCTGAACCCTGAGGACCGAGCCTTCTGAACCCTGAGGACCGAGTCTGAACCCTGAGGACCGAGCCTTCTGAACCCTGAGGACTGAGTCTTCTGACCCCCTGGAACTCTTGCCTTTGATATTTATGTTCTTAAGCGTTTATTCTTATGTGTTTTGTACAGTGTGTATGATTATCCAAAACAGCACTATACAAGTTTGATGTATTATTATTATTGTCATTATTATTATTATTATGACAGTGGTGGAAGCAGTCATAGATGAAGAGTTTGTGCACCCTTTACTCCTGCCCCCTCCTCCCTCTCCTCACCCCTCCTCACCCCAGCAGAGTGGACCATGCACTTGGGGGCCCCTGTGGTCCCAGAGGAGTACATGATGAAGAGCGGGTGAGAGAACGGCAGCTGTTCGAACTCCAGCTGTGGGTCCTGACCGGCGTCTCCACGACCGCTGCCCAGGAAGTCCTCCAGGAACTCACTGTGAGAGAGAGAGAGAGAGAGAGAGAAAGAGAGAGAGAGAGAGAGAGAGAGAAAGAGAGACAGAGAGGTAGAGAGAGAGACAGAGAGGTAGAGCGAGAGACAGACAGAAAGAGAGAGAGAGAGAAAGAGAGAGAGACAGAGAGAGGTAGAGAGAGAGAGTGAGAGAGAGAGGTAGAGAGAGAGGTAGAGAGAGAGGTAGAAAGAGAGAGCGAGAGAGGAAAAGAGAGAGAGAGAGAGAGAGCGTGAGAGGAAAAGAGAGAGAGAGAGAAAGAGAGAAAGAGCGAGAGGGGAAGAGAGACAGAGAGACAGAGAGAGAGAGAGAGAGAGAGAAAGAGAGAGAGAGAGGAAGTGAACACGGATTTCTACTCAAATCTACTCGACTCTGAAAACGCTCCTAATTGGGGTAGGGCAGAGCAGAGGAGAGTACAGCCAGGTAGCCACGGGCTGCATCCAAATTCATAAAAATACCTCCTTCCTTATCCTTCCTTATCCTTCTTCTTTCTTTCCTTCTCATTTGTGGCATAAATAGGGAACTGTCCGGTTTCCAAAATGTGCTAAAAATAGCTCCGATGACTGCGCATGTTTCGGAAAAACATTGTGTCCGACTCTGTTGAGTACTACTGTGTTCTCCACATAGGCGTGTGTATTTATTTAGGCTAAATCATTGAATCATGGTGACAACAAAACACTGCAGTTATGGTGCTTGTCGGAGCGATTTCAGATACTCTGAAAAGGACTATGTGAAAGCAGTAACATTCAACCCGTTTGTTAAACCACACAATCGAACCAGACCAGAACCAGACCAGGACCAGATCAGACCAGGACCAGACCAGGACCAGACCAGGACAAGTGCAAGAGGTGGGTGCTTGTGGTCGGCAGAATTTCTCTCATGAAAATGTTAATGTTTTTTCAAAAACACTTCGTCTGTGAAGCTGGACCAACTGTGGAGCCTCCAGATCCAGTCCTAGCTACGTTTAGCTGGGACTGGACCTGGACCGTCTGGATCAGGTCCGTCTGAGCTCTTCTGAATGTAGTTAGCACAAACTTTCTCTTTATACCCTCTACCTCCATCAATCCATATTAGTATTGTTTGTCCTAATCCAAAAAGTCTACAATTCTCACACCTAAAGGAGGAATGAGGGATTTTTTCAACTGACTATCGGAAAATTGTCATTTGAGTTTACTGAGTGTGGCTCCGATAGTTTCTCTCAGAGACAGTAGTGGCGTAGCCCGTTGTGACCCCATGGATCTATTATAATATCAGCTGACAGACTAATTAAAGATCAAACTAATTACAAAGTGGATAGTGCAAAAAAAAAACTTGATAAATGGAGGTTAATCCCAGCAAAATAAACAAAGAAGGCGCTAGCATTGAATTTAAATGACAGGATAATGTTAGCATAATCCTCACCATTACCTTTTATCAACAATTTAATTGGTCTACACTATGATCCCTGATGGTTTGATGGTGGAATTTTGCTCCTGGTTTATCATATTCATCTAAAGTGACAAGTGGTATTTGATTCATTTCGGCAGTGTTTGTCCGAAACATGTGGGCGGGAGTTGACAGGCGGCGGGGGCGTGTCTTAGTGACGTCATTAAGATAGTTCGCTATTGTGACCTAACTGTGACTGAAATTTCCCCAGAGGTCAAAACATTTTCCATTTAAACCACACAAAATGTTATGGAAGGAGATAGTTCTGCTCAAAATAGGATATAGCAACAAAAAAGGGTCGAATATTTTGCCCTTTTGTGAGATCAATAACGTTTATCTTGGAAGGTCTCTCTGTCAGAAATATTTGTTTAATTTTCTCTTTCCATTTTAGATTATGTATTGTTGACGAGTCTTACCTGTTGGGAATCTTGGAGAGATCAGTTTCTTGCCTTGTTCGAGCGTAGGGAATGACCACGACTTTCTGCAGGTCTGGTAAACCTGTAGAAGAAACAACAAGAGAGAAAATACTAACAATTATAAACAACAAATATTACAGTTTAGTGAGAAAATCAGGTGGAAATGGGAGTGAGCAAATGCAGTAAATCAGGACTGAACCACTGTCTCATAAACAGGGGTAGGACCGGGACTATACCATTATTCATGATTAAAAGTTACAAGGAAAAAAACACAAAGAAATGAGCTAAAATCACAATCAAGAATGAAGGAGAAATTATCTGGATATTTGTGTATTTTTTGATCTTGAACTAAAGCTGGGGTACGTAACTTTAAAGCTGGGGTACGTAACTTTAAAGCTGGGGTACGTAACTTTAAAGCTGGGGTACGTGAGTTTCAAGCCACAACAAAACAGTTCAGTTCAATATGACTTTAAAAAACGTTTAATTTATTTTGTTAACGTATCTGTTGTCTTTTCTTTTTGAGTCTCTCATGCTCCCTGAATGTGACTCTCTCTCTCTCTGGTCTCTCTCTCTCTCTGGTCTCACTCTCTCGCTGATCTCTCTCTCTGGTCTCTCTCTCTCTGGTCTCTCTCTCTCTCTGGTCTCTCTCTCTCTCTGGACTCTCTCCCTCTGGACTCTCTCCCTCTGGACTCTCTCCCTCTGGACTCTCTCCCTCTGGACTCTCTCCCTCTGGACTCGCTCCCTCTGGACTCGCTCCCTCTGGACTCGCTCCCTCTGGACTCGCTCCCTCTGGACTCGCTCCCTCTGGACTCGCTCCCTCTGGTCTCTCTCTCTGGTCTTTCCCTCTGGTCTCTCCCTCTGGTCTCTCCCTCTGGTCTCTCTCTCTGGTCTCTCTCTCTGGTCTCTTTCTCTGGTCTCTCTCTCTGGTCTCTCTCTCTGGTCTCTCCCTCTGGTCTCTCCCTCTGGTCTCTCCCTCTGGTCTCTCCCTCTGGTCTCTCCCTCTGGTCTCTCTCGCTGGTCTCTCTCGCTGGTCTCTCTCTCTGGTCTCTCTCTGGTCTCTCTCTCTGGTCTCTCTCTCTGGTCTCTCTCTCTGGTCTCTCTCTCTGGTCTCTCCCTCTAGTCTCTCCCTCTGGTCCCTCCCTCTGGGTCTCTCCCTCTGGTCTCTCTCTCTGGTCTCTCTCTCTGGTCTCTCTCTCTGGTCTCTCTCTGGTCTCTCTCTCTGGTCTCTCTCTCTGGTCTCTCTCTGGTCTCTCTCTCTGGTCTCTCTCTGGTCTCTCTCTCTGGTCTCTCTCTCTGGTCTCTCTCTCTGGTCTCTCTCTGGTCTCTCTCTGGTCTCTCTCTGGTCTCTCTCTGGTCTCTCTCTGGTCTCTCTCTCTGGTCTCTCTCTCTGGTCTCTCTCTCTGGTCTCTCTCTGGTCTCTCTCTCTGGTCTCTCTCTCTGGTCTCTCTCTCTGGTCTCTCTCTCTGGTCTCTCTCTGGTCTCTCTCTCTGGTCTCTCTCTCTGGTCTCTCTCTCTGGTCTCTCTCTCTGGTCTCTCTCTCTGGTCTCTCTCTCTGGTCTCTCTCTCTGGTCTCTCTCTGGTCTCTCTCTGGTCTCTCTCTGGTCTCTCCCTCTGGTCTCTCTCTGGTCTCTCTCTGGTCTCTCCCTCTGGTCTCTCTCTCTGGTCTCTCTCTCTGGTGGATGTGGGGTAGAGCCGGACCTTTGACCACGCTGATCAGCTTCTCCATGTGGTCGTGAGTTTTCCCGTTATAAACCACAGCCGCGACGGAGAAGATGAGTTTGGGCTGAATCTGGGAAAACCTGTCGAGGACGCCCTGGAAAAGAGGAATATTCATAACGAGGGAAGAAGAAGAAGTAACTGAGTATAAAAAGGGGGGGGGGCATACAAATAAAGTTGACATTGACATTGACTTTAACCAAGGTTTTAAAATGTTTGCACTTTTGGTTAAACGCTGAACTTGTTGCATTGTTCTGACTTTGAATCTAATATAATATAATTTTTGTGGCGCCACCTGCAGGTGAAAGTCAGATTTCATCAGACTTCAGACCTCTGAAGCTAAGCAGGGCAGGTCATGGTTAGTACAGTGATGGGAGACCTCTGGGACAACACCAGGTGCCACAGTGGGAGCGGCTTTGGTCTCTGCTCTGTCTCTGCTCTGTCTCTGCTCCCTCTCTGCTCCCTCTCTGCTCCCTCTCTGCTCCCTCTCTGCTCCCTCTCTGTCTCTCTCTCTGTCTCTCTCTCTGTCTCTCCCTGTCTCTCTCTGTCTCTCTCTGTCTCTGTCTCTCGCTCTCTGCTCCGTCTCTGCTCCCTCTCTCTCTCTCTGTCTCTCTCTGTCTCTCTCTGTCTCTGTCTCTCGCTCTCTGCTCCGTCTCTGCTCCCTCTCTCTCTCTCTGTCTCTCTCTGTCTCTCTCTGTCTCTCTCTCTCTCTGTCTCTGCTCCCTCTCTGTCTATCTCTCTCTCTCTGTCTCTCTCTCTCTGTCTCTCTCTCTCTGTCTCTCTCTCTCTCTGCCTCTCTCTCTCTGTCTCTCTCTATCTCTCTCTGTCTCTCTCTATCTCTCTGCTCTCTGTCTCTCTCTCGGTCTCTCTCTGTCTCTCTCTCTCTCTCTCTGTCTCTCTCTCTCTCTCTCTGTCTCTCTCTCTCTCTGTCTGTCTCTCTCTGTCTCTCTCTGTCTCTCTCTCTCTGTCTCTCTCTCTCTGTCTCTCTCTGTCTCTCTCTCTCGCTCTCTCTCTGTTCCAGATGGTGAGCCGCTACAGGAGGCGGTATAATTCACAAACACCACTCGTCTGTTTTCCTAACGTTGAATCGTCTCCGCTTCGTCGTCGCATTAATCTCACGACAGAAAAACACTCAAACTGACGGTAATTACAGCTTTCATTTTGACAAACAGCATCAATTTCTGAAGTCTTTGTGGAAATAAGTGCCTGGTTTTGTTTCCTATGAATAGAACCAGGAATTACAGAGACGTGAACCAGTTTCATTAAAGCTGGGGTCCCTCACTTTGGAAAGAATAATGTAAAAGTCAAATGTGAGCCCTGTGATTGGCTGAATGAGGTCGATATTCTCTTTTTCCACTTTTCGGTCTGAAAAATCTGATTTAAAGATGTGACAGAGGCCAGACATAAAGTGTAAATAACTACAGGGACATTTGTTTTACACAGCTCAATAGTACTAAACTATTTATGCTTTAATTTAGACTATTTATTTTGATTAACGAAGAAGAATGTTAAACCAAACAAAACCCACCCAGCTTTAAAATCATAAAAATAACAATAATTAGCTTGAAACATAAGACTTTGTCCAAGTGTTTGTGGCAGGTCAAACATCAGGGAACTTCGAGTTGTGTGCTATACAAATAATCTCCCCCTGCCTTGTATTTTCTATGAATATATGACAAACTTGATAAATAATTGACCCATACATCTGTAATGGGCAGAACAAAATCCTTAAGAATTTTGCTCCATAATCCATATTGTGGTTCCTTAAAAACTTCTATTCATTCATTTGTTTTTGTGAGTCACTGTTTGACTCGTTGAGCTGAGAGCTGATTGGCTGAGAGGGGGTGGGCTTCTCTTTTACTGATTTCTGACAGAAAAAGCAGATTTAAATATGTGACTGAGGCCAAAAACTATTATATGTGAAAAAAAGAGTGATAGAAGCCTCGTGTTTTTGAGCCGGGATCAAAGGGACGTTTTATCACATAGTTCCAAGTCAGGTACCTCAGCTTTAAAAACCAAAATCTTACAAATGGTTTACTTGAAATATGTAGACTTTGTGCAAGTGTTTGTGGCTGGTCTAGGATCAAAGGTCAATTTTTTGACTTTGAAATATACACACACACACACACACACACAAACTTGCATACAAACTGTCTCACACACACACACACACACACTTATGCATGCATACAAACAAACTCACATACATGGACACACACACACATTCATACATACATACACACAAACTCACATACACACACACACACATTCACACTGACATACTTACATACCTACATACACATTACACGCACATACATACACACACACACACACACACACACACACATTTATACAATCATACATATACAACCACACATTTATACATTCATACATACAAACACACAAATGTATACACACACACACACACACACACACACACAGTAGATTGTGTCTTCTCTGAGTGGACGCTCTAATATTTCTAAATCAGTTCATGCTGTGTCCTTCACCGGCCACCAGAGGGCAGCAACACATCAGAACTATCTCAGTCTAAAGTCTCCTGCCATAAACATCAGCAGACGATCTAATCTCTACTTTCACTTTTCTTTCAGGGGAAAAACATTGGAACTTTTTTATGCAAATAATAGTTAAGCAGCAGTTTGAGATTCGTTTTGGGAGAATTTTAAATGTGTAGAAAATTATGAAATGGTAAAAACCGGACGAGATTTGACGACTTCACATTAAGGAAAAATAATAAGATTTTTGTTTTCCTACTTTGTATCTTTTAACTGTGAATGAATAATATGGAATCCATGTGTGATGATGTCATAGGGACGTAAATAAATATACGATTATTTTGCATAAAATTAAAAAGTGTCTTTGCCGTAATAAAAGGAGGGTTCAAAGTTTGCCCCACACCACGACTTATCTACAGTATGAAATGTGTATTGATTTTATGGTTAGTGTCAACAAATATAACTTCATTTAGGGATTTAGGATGAGATAAACGTTAATGTCCACACCGGAAATTTGAATTAAAATAAGAATAAAAAGGAATATTACAGGAAAAATCATAGACAGAAGTGCTTTGAAGTCTCTGTTTAGATTCCTGGACACAAAACTGAAAGAGTTCATTATTAGTTATTTTTATTTCATACAAATTAAATCTTTCTCTTAATGTGGGTAATGTTTAGAACACATCACCCCCGCCTTAAACCAGGGACCACTGTACAACACATGGATAAGGCCCAAAGATCGGACGTACATTTACTCCGAAGTCGACGGAGGTGGAGCTCCAGATGGCGCCGATGCTCGCCGCCGCCAACATGGCCTCCACCGCGTGAACGCCGTTGGGAAGGTATCCTGAGGAGAGAGACGGAGTTACACTAAACCATGTGACAATGTCGAGTTTTCATTCAGAAAATATGTCATAAAAACAAATAATGTTGTAGTCACGACCATTTTTACCTAATTCCCATTGAATCTGTCTGGTCCCTGGTCTCTCCCTCTCTCTGGTCTCTCCCTCTCTGGTCTCTCCCTCTCTGGTCTCTCCCTCTCTGGTCTCTCCCTCTCTGGTCTCTCCCTCTCTGGTCTCTCCCTCTCTGGTCTCTCCCTCTCTGGTCTCTCGGTCTCTCCCTCTCTGGTCTCTCGGTCTCTCCCTCTCTGGTCTCTCGGTCTCTCCCTCTCTGGTCTCTCCCTCTCTGGTCTCTCCCTCTCTGGTCTCTCGGTCTCTCCCTCTCCGGTCTCTCCCTCTCTGGTCTCTCCCTCTCTGGTCTCTCCCTCTCTGGTCTCTCCCTCTCTGGTCTCTCCCTCTCTGGTCTCTCCCTCTCTGGTCTCTCCCTCTCTGGTCTCCCCCTCTCTGGTCTCCCCCTCTCTGGTCTCTCCCTCTCTGGTCTCTCCCTCTCTGGTCTCTCCCTCTCTGGTCTCTCGGTCTCTCCCTCTCTGGTCTCTCCCTCTCTGGTCTCTCCCTCTCTGGTCTCTCGGTCTCTCCCTCTCTGGTCTCTCGGTCTCTCCCTCTCTGGTCTCTCCCTCTCTGGTCTCTCGGTCTCTCCCTCTCTGGTCTCTCCCTCTCTGGTCTCTCCCTCTCTGGTCTCTCCCTCTCTGGTCTCTCCCTCTCTGGTCTCTCCCTCTTTGGTCTCTCCCTCTCTGGTCTCTCCCTCTCTGGTCTCTTGGTCTCTCCCTCTCTGGTCTCTCCCTCTCTGGTCTCTCCCTCTCTGGTCTCTCCCTCTCTGGTCTCTCGGTCTCTCCCTCTGGTCTCTCCCTCTCTGGTCTCTCCCTATCTGGTCTCTCCCTATCTGGTCTCCCCCTCTCTGGTCTCCCCCTCTCTGGTCTCTCCCTCTCTGGTCTCCCCCTCTCTGGTCTCCCCCTCTCTGGTCTCTCCCTCTCTCTGGTGTCTCCCTCTCTGGTCTCTCCCTCTCTGGTCTCCCCCTCTCTGGTCTCTCCCTCTCTCTGGTCTCTCCCTCTCTCTGGTCTCTCTATCTCTGGTCTCTCCCTCTCTCTGGTCTCTCTATCTCTGGTCTCTCTCTCTCTGGTGTCTCCCTCTCTGGTCTCTCCCTCTCTGGTCTCCCCCTCTCTGGTCTCTCTATCTCTGGTCTCTCCCTCTCTCTGGTCTCTCTATCTCTGGTCTCTCCCTCTCTGGTCTCTCCCTCTCTGGTCTCTCCCTCTCTGGTCTCTCTCTCTCTCATCTCTTTCTGAGGTCTAGCTGAGGTCCAGGAGCCACACAGAAGCTCCTTTGATAAAGTGCGTCTTATCTAACGTCATAAAACATCGCTCAGACGTAGTTCCAGAGGGTCAGGGAGAGGCTCAGAGGGAGAGGCTCAGAGGGAGAGGCTCAGAGGGAGAGGCTCAGAGGGAGAGGCTCAGAGGGAGAGGCTCAGTGGGAGAGGCTCAGGAGAGGCTCAGAAGGAGAGGCTCAGAAGGAGAGGCTCAGAAGGAGAGGCTCAGAGGGAGAGGCTCAGAGGGAGAGGCTCAGAGGGAGAGGCTCAGAAGGAGAGGCTCAGAAGGAGAGGCTCAGAGGGAGAGGCTCAGAAGGAGAGGTTCAGAAGGAGAGGCTCAGAGGGAGAGGCTCAGAGGGAGAGGCTCAGTGGGAGTGGCTCAGAAGGAGAGGCTCAGAAGGAGAGGCTCAGAAGGAGAGGCTCAGAGGGAGGGGCTCAGAGGGAGAGGCTCAGAGGGAGAGGCTCAGAAGGAGAGGCTCAGAGGGAGAGGCTTAGAAGGAGAGGCTCAGAAGGAGAGGCTCAGAAGGAGAGGCTCAGAGGGAGAGGCTCAGAGGGAGAGGCTCAGAAGGAGAGGCTCAGAGGGAGAGGCTCAGAAGGAGAAGCTCAGAGGGAGAGGCTCAGAAGGAGAGGCTCAGAGGGAGAGGCTCAGAGGGAGAGGCTCAGAAGGAGAAGCTCAGAGGGAGAGGCTCAGAAGGAGAGGCTCAGAGGGAGAGGCTCAGAAGGAGAGGCTCAGAGGGAGAGGCTCAGAGGGAGAGGCTCAGAGGGAGAGGCTCAGAGGGAGAGGCTCAGGGGGAGAGGCTCAGAGGCAAAGGGCTGGTGTGTTGTCACGGTGATGGGCCTGGACCGATCTGACAGAGTGGGTCCTACGTCAGACCGGCAAGAGGAGAAGAGCGACACGTGTCTGTATCTAAAACTACTTTATATTCTCTGTTGATCTCAGAGTGTGAGGAGGGAGGAGAGAGGAGAGGAGAGAGGAGAGAGAGGAGAGAGGAGCGAGGAGCGAAAAGAGAGGTGAAGAAGAGAGAGGAGCGAAAAGACGGGAGAGAAGAGAGAGAGGGAAGAGAGAGGAGAGAAGAGAGAAAAGAAAAAAGTGGAGAGAAGAGAGAATAGAGACTAGAGGGGAGAGAGAGAGAGAGCAGCTTCCACAACTACTACTTCCGCTACTGCTGCTACTTACTATGTTTCAAAATGATTCAGTTCAGAAAAACTCAAAGAGACATGTTTTTCAAAATGGCCGTTTCCTCTCTTTTATAGCCCCACCCACACAACCATCAGAGACTTGTAGCTCCGCCCCTTCTGTCCAAAAGCTCCTGTCTCAGTCCTGTAACAGTGTGATGTCATCGCACCACTATGACATCACACTCAGAGCAGTCTTTAAAAACAAAAGTATGGCCTCTAAAATAATTATGGTAACTTATTAAGGTCATTTACATATTTTACAATCACTGTTTGCAGCCATAAACCCAACTCTGCTGCTCCCTCTGGTGGCAGCACAGGGAATTACAGGCCGAACGCCAATTTTTCCCTTATGTAATGACAAAGTAAACAGTCTCATTATCATTGTTAAAGCCAAAAAAGTGTGTTTGATATTTCTTCTTTAATTAACACACACACACTGCGCTGGAAACTACACTTCTCTGGATCTCTTTTGACGTCAACAGTCGTAAACAGAGGTAGTTTTTGTCAGCAGCTGGAGTCTGGCAGATGTGGTTCCACCTCGTCCCAAAGCTCCGGAGCTAAACAGGTCACACATAAAAGAGAAACATTATAGAGTCGTCTTTTTGAGATACTTTCTGTGTCGTGACGTCGGAGATTCAAACTCATCCCCCCTCTGCTGCTGCTGCTGCTACTGCTGCTGCTGCTACTGCTGCTGCTGCTGCTGCTACTGCTGCTGCTACTGCTGCTGCTGCTGCTGCTGCTACTGCTGCTGCTACTGCTACTGCTGCTGCTGCTACTGCTGCTGCTGCTGCTGCTGCTGCTGCTACTGCTGCTACTGCTGCTACTGCTGCTGCTACTGCTGCTGCTGCTGCTGCTGCTGCTGCTGCTGCTACTGCTGCTGCTGCTGCTACTGCTACTACTGCTGCTACTGCTGCTGCTGCTGCTGCTACTGCTGCTACTACTGCTACTGCTGCTACTGCTGCTGCTGCTGCTGCTACTGCTGCTGCTACTGCTACTACTGCTGCTACTGCTGCTGCTGCTGCTGCTGCTGCTACTGCTGCTGCTGCTGCTGCTGCTGCTGCTACTGCTGCTGCTACTGCTACTGCTGCTGCTACTGCTGCTGCTGCTGCTACTGCTGCTACTGCTACTGCTGCTGCTGCTGCTA